CAAATATATAACTGCAGTAGGTCAGTCAAGCTGGAAGAAACAAGTTGCCTATCCCCTCTGCAGGCGGCTGCAGAAAGGAGGAGGAAGTGGTACTGTACATCATGCAGGAGCAGAGGCAGAGAAACGCTCCTCTAAAGTAGGTTTGATGAGAATTAACGGCACTAGAAGACGGTGATTTTTTGACAATGGCTATTAAGAATTAATCAGGCCGGCGCTCAATAATTTATCGTGCTTCCCAAAGTCCCCCATTAATTTTTGATCTGCTCCATCCCCGTCCATTATTTGCATGAAATCAAACGAAATTTCTAAATAATGTGTTGCTTGAGTGACGGCAAAGTCTTTATCACAGGCAAAATATGGTGTTGATGTAAAGCAGGGTGTGAACTGTTGCACTCTGGCAATGCTGGATTCACATTCGGATGCTTGACAGGACTTTTAACCTCTTAAAATATCATGTTCAGGAGTCAACTAATGAAATATTCAGTCTTTAATTCGCATATTTCTCAAAATGGGTGAATGTTCTGTAATTAGGATGCAACAATTTCACTTGTTTGCACTGCAAACCGAAGCTGCTAAAGACTTTTCTTAGAACACAGTAAAATGTTTGTGATACTGGTAAGTTGAGTGTTTTAAGGACATTTTTGAGGGAAATAGAAGCTACTTTGGTCTGAATATTCAGCCCAGAAGAGATGAATAAGAATAAAAATGTTTTGTAGGTGCATACTTATGTGTAGTGTGTTTAAGTCTGTGTATGTTCACAGTCCTACCACAGTGACACACGGCTGTGGTTGATAACATAGAGGTTTGTGTTTTATATTGACAAACACATCACAAGTTGCTGCTTTTAATAATCTCCGAAGCTCTGGCTTTGAAAATGCTGCATGCTCATTGTAATTATTCTATAACCACCGCCGGATTCCTTTGATTTATGTAGTAAATGCGTTTTTAATAAAAGTGCAAGAGGAGAAGGGAGAGCAACAAAAAGACATAAGCGCAGAGATGAGAGGAGAAACCAGACGAGATGGGAGGAGAAAGGACAAGATGTTGGGGTAGTCAAAGATAAATCAGATTCTTCTTTTTTCCATAAAACACTGTACAGGAAAAAAAGAAGAAAAGAAAGCTCACTGTCCAACAGTGGAAGTAGGCTAAGCCATCATGGTTGTCTTTTATCAGAGACAAAACTAATACCCTTGATTCAAAGTAACAGCAGAGTGGTCATTAGGGTATTATATGTAGCCTAAAGCAATGGTGTCAGCTTCACTATGTTAATGGGCCCATGCCCTGGAAAAATTAGCATGGAGCTCTCTGGGGCACAGAGGAGATCACCTTGCTCTCTTGCTCTCCACTGTTGTTCTCATTAAATATAGAGAGTAGCGCTCATCGCCATTTTTAAACCTGTGACACCTGCATTTGAAAGTGATTGCACGGGTTGACACAGGATTACAACTCATTGAGTCGTTTTAAGTGATATACAATTGTATCGTCACCAAACATGGACCTGGTTTTTGTGTTGACTGTTTAATTTTAAACAGACTTTTGAGCAAGTTGTATAATCTTTGAATTCTAGCTAAGTCCATGCCATTTTCCTTAAGGGACCCCTTATACTGAGTAAACTGACAACCCCTGACATGGATTTTACATAGTATAACAACTGATAAACTGTACAATTAACCCAAATAGTGAACACAGTAAGTTTGTGTAAAATGAGGGAGCTGATTATTTACTGTGAGTTATCTTGATATTTTTAGGAACTTTTTATACAACTCTCTTTCTGTATAAAGTATTTTTAAATGGTTTAACAATCATACAGACTTAATGGACTTATTTGTTGTCAAACTCAGTGTTTTCCTCTCTCTGATGCTTGCCCATTGTTGTATTATCTCTTTGGTTGTTTTAACTGTGTACTTTTCTAATGCAGGACGTTTATCAGAGAGTGAAGGCTCTGAGTATAAAGCTTGTGTTCAGGTCTTCAAAGTTAGATTTTAAATAATAATCTAAACTTCAAAAATAAATAACTGTTTCATTTAATTTTCAAAACAGAAATGAACCAAAGTTTTCTTACCTCCCTTAAAATCAAGAAGGCCTCATGATCCCCTGTGCAGTTTTGGCAACTCCTAATGGGGGTCCTGAACCCCTGGTTGGGAACCACTTCCTTAGGTGAATTTACATTTACAAAGCAAGACTTTAACTGTTTCATTTAGTGTGTTTTATTTGACAGACACAAAGCAAATTTAAGGAAAGGTGCATCTCATGTGCACTGCATTATTTATACTATGCATATTGTCTTATTTGTTAGTTTTTAAAGCAGAGATATATATGTCCAATTATCTACTGTAGATAGATGAACTGGTTGGACCATAAAAGCAAGCTCATGTTTGACTCAACATGCGTGATTAAAGATGATGGACATTTTGCCAGTCAAGCCTAAATTATTGGGCCTAGATTTCAACTGTTATGACTGTAAGATAAACACTGTGGCACAATTCAGAAGCACTAAAATTGTCTCTGCATGTGGTGTGTTTTCATGGTGTCAGCAGCATCGAGGACCTCAGAGTTTCTGTCTGAGATATTGCCTGTCCTTGGTCTGTAGATTCTGTGTGGAAGAATGGAGTTTAGTTCCTGTGTGTGGTACAAGTGTGTGTGTGTGTGTGTGTGTGTGTGTGTGTGTGTGTGTGTGTGTGTGTGTGTGTGAGAGAGAGAGTGTTGGTGTGTCTGTGCAGGAAGAAGCCATGTGAATATGAGTTGCAGAGTGAATATAGATCAGTCTCCCAGAGGCTAAGTGAGATGGCTGCTGTAATATCCCCCAATTACACACAGATCAGCCCCTGACCAACCACCCACTCCTGTCACTGGTCATCACATACTGTGTGTGTGTGTGTGTGTGTGTGTGTGTGTGTGTGTGTGTGTGTGTGTGTGTGTGTGTGTGTCAGATAGAGGAGTTGGGGATAGAAGGTGTAAATGTATGCACTCTCAGTTAGTGTGCTAAAACCAAACCATGGATACCTAAATGTAAGATGGCAGCACTGATATAGCTCTCCATAGTAATCAGTCCCATACAAGAAAAAGGTGTGTGTGTTTGTGTGTGTGTTTACATGGATCTGAGGCAGCGTCTGAAGCTGAAGCACGAATGTCTTTGTGAGTGCATCTGTGTGTATGTGCATTTATGTGTATATCTGCAGGTGCATTTACTGTAGGTGTGTCTGTGTGTGATCCTGTGTGAATAAATAGAATTATTGTATATCTACTGTATATTGCATGTATTGTATATTGTATGCATCAAATGCACTAGTAGGGAGGTAACTGTACATGTTCCACCAGTGAATCTGGTAAATGAAGTGTAGAATAATGGTCACAGTGCTAAAGGTTCTCAAGATCTGTGAGGCAAAGCAGATTTATTCATGCAACAACACACCATTGAAAATTGCCCCCAAAACACCCTCCCTTATTGTGTCCTACATTTTTCTTTTTTCATATTTATAAAGTTTTCTTTTATTTGGCCAAATGTTTTGGATGAAACATAATTGCTGCTTACAATATGTTCACTACAGCAGCCTTTTGTTCGGTTCAGATTGTGTTACACTGGGCCTGAATGCTAAAACAAATTGTGAATTGCTCACACTGACCCAAATTTAAATCTTATCACAGTTAGTAAATAAATTGTCTGAATCCTACATGAGAACAGCAGCAACAACCAAATGTTAGAAGTGTTGTTGTCAGGGTTGGGAGGGTTACTTTAAAAATATAATCTGATACAACTACTAATTACATTTTCAAAAATGTAGTCAGTAACCTAACGTGAGTATCCCAATATTAAAGTAACACAACTTCATTACTTTCAATTACTTTTGGATTACCCAAATGTGTAAATAAAAACAAGAGAAAATAAATGTCAATAAGAAGGATTGATGCAAGTGTAAGACAACAGAACAGTGTCACCTTAGGAAAGAAAATGGAAAAATGGAAAATTGATTTTTAGCATAAAAAATGTGTCCTCTGTTCAGTGAATTTTTAAAGAAAAACTGATATATTTTAAAATTGTAATCCTTCTAAATAATACCCATTCTTACTAAATGTAAATGTAATCTGAGTAAGTCTTTTTTTTCTGCAACTGTAATGGATTACAGATACTGTAATTTGTAACCTGATTATGTAATTCAGTTACACTCCATTCCTGGTTGTGGTAACAACTTCACAAAATTAGGCACATGCAACAAAATTGGAAGTAAACTTCACAAGTAGATATCAAGCAAACATAATTTAAGACTGATATCTACTTACCTTTTCCGAGGCAAATTGTCAGATTTTACAGTGCAACTTCTGGCCCAAAACACAATCCAGAACAATGCCAGCACAAGAAAAGTGTCATGTTTTGAAGTATTTTCTAAGTATGAATCATTACTTTTGTCGTTACGATAAATATGACAATATAAAGATTAGAGATCGTACTGTCTAACCCTACCTCACACTGCAGGCAGGAGGCTGAACGGTTGCTTTTACAGAGCACAGCACTTTTGCAGGTGAGTTGTGGGTAAGATTTTTTAGCCTGACATCAGTCAGCCGGATGTCACTGTGTTGATGATGTTGATATTTCTGTCAGTGTCTATGTGTGTGTGTGTGTGTGTGTGTGTGTGTGTGTGCTCTCCTCTTGATCTGACCTGTAGGCACATTACCTTATTTCTGCTGAACTCACAAAGAGCTCTTTGAGATACTGTGGTGATTATAGTGGAAATACACACAGACACACACACACACACCACACACACACACACACACACACACACACACACACACACACACACACACACACACACACACACGGACAAGAGCAGAAGCTGCAGACCAGTCTGGGGACTAGCCACTGCCGGCAGTGTCTAATTGCTCTCAGAGGAGAAAGAGATGCTCGGAAGAAAACTGGTGCAGATCTACCTCCTCTCTTTTTTTATCCGTCTCATGTACTCTTTGTTTTTCCTTTCCTCTTTTCATCCCCAGTGTTTCAGTTCCTCCCAAACTGCCCATCATCTCCTGAGCACGGCGACTCCATCATTCAGTCTGATGGCAGAGTCAAAGAGAAAGAGTTGGAGATGGAGAGAGTTACAGAAAGAGAGCGAGAGAGAGAGAAGAGGCCCTTTATTAAACCTGCTGCTAATTGAGATAGCACGAAAATAATGGGGAGTGACACTTTAATGAAGACATGCTACGTGTTACCACTTCTTCCTTCCTTCCCCTCCGCCACAGAGGAGGAGGAGGAGGTGCAATGAAGAGAATAAGGAACTGGGGAGGGACGAGGAGAGCATAAAGAAAGATCGAAGGAGGGTAAGAGCTTCAACTGTTTTATTGCAAAAAGAAAAAAAGGAAAAAAAAGAGTAAAGACAGAATTGAAACCGGCTCGCATCTCATGCTGTAATATGTTTTCAGTGGCACGTCAAAAGTGAGAGTTAAAGGGAGTTATGGGCAGGGATATTGTTCTATCGCGTTAAAACACAATTATGTTTCATCAGGGCGATTGCGCCGCACACTTGCAATAGACTGCTCTTTGTACTTTGCTTTGGTGCAACATTTCTGTGTGTTTGCTCTCCACTCCCCCCAAAAAAAGGAACAGAAAGAAAAAACTGAGCAAAGTGAAGCCAAAACAGAGAGCATGATTAGAGAAGATACTCCCGGGTGATATTCCTTATATTCGGTTACCGCTCTCAAAACCTGACACCAGATGACAATCATTGGATTTGGTTGGGAAGGTGATGATCGGCATTATGAAGAAAACAGCGCTTCATAATGTGTCAATGCAACTGACATCGGGGGGCAATAAAATCAGCTTTTTCAGGGAAGACTTTACAGCTAATAACAATGCACAGACATTCTGTGTTTGGTGTGTGTCTCTGTGTCTGACGAGGTTAAATAGAGCATTCACATTTATGTATGTTTTTAAAGCGGTTACATAGGATGTGCTGCGATTCAAGAAATGTTATTCAAATGCATCTACTCAAATAATACACCACAGTTTGACAAAAGGGATGGAGATTTTAGCCATCTTTAAAATACATTTTGAGTTAGAATATGTGCAGTTGTGTGAGTGTGTGTGTAGGTGTTTGTGTGTGTGTGTGTGTGTGTGTGTGTGTGTGTTTGAATCCAAGCGCCATGTTACTCCAAAGTTTCAACTACCGCAGAGGGGAGCAATGTCCTGCTGCTAAGATTGAAAAGTACGACTCGAGGACGACTGCCTATGCTCACCCCAATCTACAAGCCAACAACCCTAACACACACCTACACACACACACACACACACACACACACATACCATGCCTCCCTCCTGTACTGTAGATGAATATGAAATCAGAAACAGGTATAAATATTTATGAAATGCATTATTCTTTGGCTTTTTTTGCTAAAGCAGAGGTGAGCATGATTTGGCCCTGTCTCCCTCTCTCTGTTTTGCACCCTCTTCACAAAGGCCGGGCAATATAGAGACACAGTCAAACCGCAGCTGTAAACCACACATGCACACACACACACACACACACACACACACACACACACACACACACACACACACACACACACACACACACAGAGCAGCAGTGAAGGAATACATAACCAAGAGCTTAACTGAAACACTGTATCTGTATGGGTATAAAGGTACATCTGTTACGTCCGCCTGTAAAGAAGCTTCCTGGGAGGCCTGCCAATTCAAACAGTTTCAACCACTCAGCCACACACGCAGATACACATACCTATGTGCATAGCAGTACAAAGTGAACATACACACACACACACACACACACACACACATACACAGTGATGATTTAATGAATTCCTATGGTGGAAAGCAGTCCTACAGTTTCCTCTAGTAAATACAGGACAAAAGGTGGATGAGATATGGATCATTTTAGGCTTTGTAAAAAATGTTATCAGTGGTACCTAAAACACATAGAATGTGATGCATGAAAAACATGAATACAAACTCTGTCAATAAATAATCAATGGGAAAAAGCATACAATGGCAAAACTCCTTCCTAACTTTTAAGTATAACCAGTAAAACCATACATAAGAAGTTTGTAAGAAAGAGTCTATCTGAGTCAGGCATCACAAATCCACAACATTGTGGCTATTTTTTATCATTAAAAGCGTGCAAAAACATAAGGTGCCTTTTATTGTGAGGCAGTCACAGGAAATGTAATGTATTTGTCACCAAGGTCAGGGCTGACACGACTGTTCATCAAAAATCTGTCTTCAAAACAAGACATGGTCTTTTGGGATATTTTTTGTCAGAGAATCAGTTTTAGATATATTGCAGGGAGTACTGGAGCGGTCAGGAGCCTTTACAGAGTTGTTACACGAAGAGCTGCAGGTAACAGGTAACACACCTCCAACTTCTAGTGTAAGATCACCATGCCATGCGCAGCATGAAATCAGTTCAAAGTTGTAGGTGGTTATGACATGAAGGAAAAAGGCAGATAATTGACTGTCTTTATTAAAACAACACGAGTTTGGCTGCAATAGTATTTATAAGAAACAGATCATTAATTTGACAAAAAAGAAAAAAGAATGGGAAGTTTTTCAATTGCAATTTTAAATGCAGTTCCTTCATCACTATGGATCTGCATCTGGAAGTATGTGCTTGACCTCCATTCACTGATTAGCTGCTAATGCTCAGCTAACAGGTAACTAAAGACAAACTGATGGCTAACTAGTAACTGATTTTGATAAAGCCAATAGTAGAGACACTAATGCACACTTAGATACAACCACTCTCTATGGGTGACCATATTTACAAACCCCCAAACCAGGACCCTTAAGTGTATGTATGTGTTTTCATCAGCAGGGAAAGTTATTTAAGCACTTAGCAGACCTACTGACAACTTTTAACACCCTGGACGCGGTGAACGAGGAATTTAGTTGCTGGGTACTTTAGAAAAAGGAGTAAGCCTCCTGGAGCTCTTTAGAAAAGACCAACTTTCTGTTTGGCATGACAGCTAACCATTAGCATACTAACAGGTTCTGTCAGAAAAAGCCGCTTGACTATGACTCACAGGCTTGCAACAGCCTTGACAGCGACACATTGACTGACACACGTACAGACAAATCAGTGCTGAAATTAGACGTGGTGCATTGTTTATGTTTTTATATTGGGTTAGATAATAATGTGTGGGATGGAACATGACAAAACGTCTACATAATAGCAAGGATAATATCATAATTATAATAATTGTGGGGAAAACTGGGACAGTTTGGTTGTGAATGTTAAACAAAGATATTGGTCAGGACTTCATCCCTCAACTGGCATCTTCAAAAGCCTGCCACACTACACGGTGCCAGTCAGTGGGGCGGTTGTCTCGCTCCCCTTGGTTATGACAATAACATTTTGGATCGCGTTTACGAAAAGCTTTTCGCCATTGTTGAGCATCCAGCAGTTTCAGGTTGATGAAGACTGTCAGGTGGTTTACTATGCTACAAAATCCACATACACACTAATACAAATCATCCCACAGCCGTGCGGGTAAAATCACCTCTGTTAACCGCAGAGAAAATAAAGTTATTACGACCCTCTCTCTCCCAGCCTCTATGTCTCTCTCTTCTAATTCCTATGTCCTCCAGTGTGATAGTAAAAAATGAGGCTCCTTACGCAGCGAGCTGCAGCTTTTTTGATTGAAGTGAGTGATTTTCCCCAGCCGCACACCTGCGTAAAACAGATGATAATGCTGTTGGAGTCATTTACTGTGACTTTACTAAGATGAATATGAGCAGCGCTTTCTCATCATGCAAATGTGCCTGCGCAGAAAAACCTCTCTCCCTCTCCCTCTTCTCTGGGGAGAACTATTTTTGCAGCATTACAAAGAAAGATTACCCGTAACCGAGTGATTCAACTCTTTATTGGTGAATGTAAACTCGCCCCTTTACTATTGCCATGACTGTTATTATTATTTGTTTTGGGTATAACACTATATTTAATATGATATTGAGCATTGCAAGGCCTAGCTGTGGGCTGCGGTGCCACCATGCAGCCATGGTTAGATTGATAGGAACACATCATCATTATTGGACAGTCTCCACTGTCACATAGCCTCTAGCTTAAATGTCTCTGTCTTTCTCTCTGTCTATCTGTTCTGCCAGTCTTTTCTTTCTCTCCCTCTCTCCCTCTAATAGCCCTTCATTTCCTCTGCCCATTGCCCCTGCAGGCCACATGTAATACTCTGAGTGACCCGACTGGCTGGGAATACACCAAATTTGTCACCGACACACACATCACACACACACACACACACATACACACACACACACAAACACACACTAATACAGAGAATAAGGCGGTCAGCCACATAGGTCTTCTCCTGACACTAAATGTCACCTGTCAAGTAAGACTGGTGGAGACAGAAGAAGGAGAGAGGGTTCAGTAAACAATACAATAGCCAACTGTCGTGGAGCAAAACACACACTATGCTGCTGGTAGACAATATGAAAATAGAGCCAACAATGGTGGTGCTTTGACTGTTCATGGAAGGATAAAGAGTAATACAGATTAAGCAATGTGGCAGGTGTGGCCGTCATATCAATCCTCATAACATAAACAACCACAGATGGAAATTAAAAGCTACTTGCAACAATGTCTTTGTCTTAACTCGGCCTATTGTACAGACTCTCCAGGAAGTTGTGATGTTGCGATCGCAACAATTAACGTAAATTCAACCAATCCCTGTAAATTTTGCTCCATTCGTCACCAAACTACTAGCCATTTTATTCTCACTGCAGAATATTCAAATTTTAGTAAATTATACAAACAAATGTTTAAACAATTTTGCAATTTTCACATTCCTAATTGCAAAAAATGCCTAAAAAACGCTGCAACATACATTGTAATTGTTTTTTTATAGCTGCTGTAAAATCATTCATTTTAGTCCACAACAATCCCAAAGCAACCAACCAAACCCTGGAGGGACTGATTATAGGATGAAAACAGCACTGTTTGGTGCTGGGCAGGTAATAGGTACTGGGTTTATCAGAGTTTCTTCTTAGTAAAAGATGCCGGCTGCTTTTGGAAATGTTGCAGACAGTAAAGCTGCAGACCATAAAACCAAAAAACAATGAGCTGGAAGAAGCTAACTTTTACATTCATCATATTGATTAGTGCATCTTTAAAATACTCCATTGTTAGCTCCTTATTACTGCAGGCATTAACTTAAATGTCATTTGTATCTTGTTCTAATATAGATATTGTTAGCATTTTCTCCATGTTTTAGCACCTGTGTTAATACTGCGAGTCAAAGTATGCTATCATAGGATACTTCTTCTGGAAAGGGGCAGAAAAGATAACCTAAAT